ATTTCAAAGGCTCAAATCGTTTCGCACAAAGGTAATTTCAAGGTCAAATCTGTCAAATCTGTCACATCAAACAACAACAAAAATCTGTCATCCAAAAGGCATTTTGCAAGGCCAAATCTGTTACAAAAAATGTAAGGTTCAAGGTCCAATATGTCATACAAAAGGTATGTTTCAAGGTCAAGTCGAAAAAGTAACGTGAATGCACTTTGACAACATGTTTCAAGTTATTCCCATTGTTCATTTGCTGTCTAAAAACGTAAAGTATGAAATCATGGCTATAAGTATATCGTTCCTTTTTTGAAGATTATAGTCTTAATGTTGTGCGTTAATCATGTTTTGACACTGCTTTGCCTCTTCCTTTTTGCTTTTGGTTCAACACAGTAGAGGTCATATGGTGACTTTCACCTTTCACTGATGGAGGAAGATCTCAGCTACAGATTCGTGCATTATTTCACGCACGAACTGTTACATAAGTAGAACAATCGACGTGTTGTAACTTACATGAATACCTTCCCATGAAATTATCCAAAGCTCCTGGTGGGTTTCGAACTGACGGCTGTGAGGAGTAAGTGGTTCGAAATCAACGACTTTAACCTCTCGGCCACGGACGCCCTGGAGGCTTCTAGCTACAGTGTTTGTTTTCTCCATTTTTCGTACGCAGGCTATTGCAGTAAAATGGAAGCACATAAAACCTTCAGCTGGTAACGAAAGTCTGTCGGGATATGTCCTAGAATATAAACAGAAAGGATCTGATAGCACAGACGCTTGCAGTGTGGCACTTGTCAGCACGAAAAAATCGTTCAAAATTCAAGGTAACAATGCGTTCATATAATTGATTTTTAGTATCGATAATCGTTTTGTCCACACTGGTTATCGATAATCGTTCTGCGCTCACTGGCCTTTTGATATGTATGCACTATTGTTTCTAGAGATTTTCTTTAAATTTCTTTAATCCATTTGCATATGTCGCAGTTTTCATGAAAAATAATTAAACATTATCTTAAATAAAAATCCAGTTCACATCAAAATCTATACTTCTGAATCAATTTTTGAAATGGAAAAAACACAATTTATTTTCCATAGCTAGATCGTTACCCACCTTTTATTATTCTAGTCAACCCGCTTAGTTCAATGGCGGAGGACATTGGACTGTTAATCCAGAGGTTACTGGATCGATTCTCCGGCGAACCAGATTTCTCCGTAACCAATAGCGGGAAACATCAGCAGTATACATACATAGATATACAAAAATACATAATGAAAAACGACTAAATTTGTATTCTTATGATGATAGCTATATATAGATTCAATATGGTGAGAAAAAAATATATTTATGTTAACATATTAAGTATGATTAATAGATCAAAATAAATGTTCACTCCTTTCTTAATAACCTGAACGAGAAGAACAGAGCCCTAAATCGTTTACTGACTTGTTCATATTTTCTTACAGTCCTATAAACGTAACGTAAGTTAGTCGTTACTAACGTTTTATGGTTTCAGGGCTTCTTCCCGACATGAGATATTCTAGTAAGAGTTGCAGGCGTTTTTAACGATTTACAGGGTATAATTATTGTTGTTTGTTTTTATTTTATATCTATATCTAACTTAGAAAGTGGTTAGAAAGAACCATAGTTTTGAAATTATAACAATTGAACTAAATTAAAGACATATCAGAAATTTCTGCAGTAAAATGAAGCACCTTTGAAATTTCTTTAGTTAATTGAAACAATAAAATATATGGAAATTATTTTGTTAATTGAAACAGATATCCGTCAGTTTTCATAAACGCAAAGAAAGGGGAGGTTCAGGAAACCGTTCATATTTGTCTTCTCTCAATTGTGCATCACTTTAATTATCTTCAATAATTATTATCTAGATATCAATTCCGAACATTTCTACAAAATTAATGAAGGAAGCTTACTATATTTATTTCAAATTGTGATTATTTTAAAATGCAAAGCTTCCTATTTCACTGACGTCACGCTTAAGAGTATTTAAAGAACTGTAATTATTTCCTTATCAAGATTAAGAAATGCTCATACATTTGAACCATATCTTGCCCTGACATAAGGTAAAGAAAAATAAAAGAAAGAAAAAACCTTGCCGCAAATTAACTCTGTTTCTTCACTGAAAATGAGTATTCTTCAAAAAGGAGGTTCTCAGTTATATATGGCGTACGTCATTATCTCGGTCTCGTCAGTCTCGCGAGAGTAAACGATCGTCAAAATGGCGGCATTCAGTTTAAATTTAAATCCAAGCCCAAATTTAAAAAAAATCATAAAAAAATAAAAAATTTTTCTGTTTTGTAGTTTAAATTTTAAAATAACTTTTTTGGTTTCCCCGTTTTTAAAAAATAAATTTTATAAAGACAGAAAACAAAATATATCCCTTTTTATATTCCTTTAAAAGTTATTTTGTTTATAAATAAAAGGACTATTTTCTTTTTTAAAAAACCCCAGGGGCCAATTCCCCCGAGTGGGGTTGGGGATTTAAGACCTTTAGAAAAACAGAAGAAAATCAAGAAAGTAATGGTGTATTTCACGTCACCAACCCGCGTTATGTTGCCCCATGGCAACTAATTTTGGGGAAAGACTAATGTGTCCGCATAAAAATAAAAGTACAAAAGGGGATGGGGAGGTCTTTTTATGGTAAGTTATTAATAGCATATGTCGAAAATAAGTGTTAATTCATTTTGAGTGAGACTAAAACATGTGTTGGAGCACCATACTTAATACCGTATTCCGGTACATATCGGACAAGGCGCAGGAATGATTAAACGCTAAAATCTCGCTTTTTCATGCACTGAAATGCCCTTGAAGGTGTTACCGATTTATAAACAGCTATGAATTAAAAATGTATAACAATCGGATGATTTGACTAGCAAATATAATATTCTGAGCCTACTTTTTGTAAAAATCTAAAGTTTGTTTTCCAAAACTTTGAATTGCATAATCAATCTAATATTTTTTTTTACATTTAAGAAATGATCATTTTGGTTTTACTTACGTGTGAACAAATATTGGCAAGGGTATACTGCAAATCACTTAATATTCGCGTGATCTTTATTTCGCAAAAACACCATTCCCAAATCATTTTTGTTACAGTTGAGCAGAATGTACTCGTGGACAGTAAAGAATTTGTTGTTGACGGTGATAAGAGTGTAATAGAGGTGAACGACCTGATTCCGGAAACTCGATATCAGGTGATTTTGGAGTTCAGAGGGATTAACAATAACTGTAGACAGTACAAAATGCAAACTTTTGTTACCGTAGAAGGTATGTTTACTTTATTTAGTGATGTTAAGGAAACATTTGTTAAAATGTGTTTCTTTTGTTTGTGTAAAAACAGGTTGAGATAAGATCTCATTGGACTTTGTTGGCCAATAAACACGAAAAGTTGACAAAGCGAGTTCAAAGTATTCTACAGTTATATATGAACTTCGATTATCTAAGATTGAACAGGAGGTTACACTGGTCTTGAAATGTATTGGTTCAGGAAACAAAATAATGTGATCAAATTATTACTGAACCTACTTTAATAGAGAAAGGCAGTTAATAATAATGATGATGATGATGATGACGACGATGACGATAATGATAACGATAATAATAATAATAATAATAATAATAATAATAATAATAATAATAATAGTTATTGTTAATAATAATAATAATAATAATAATAATAATAATAATAATAATAATAATAATAATAATAATAATAATAATATAAATCATTGTTATAATTATAATAATAATTATAATAAACACAGCAATGAATTAGGTTTACAATGAATTAAATATATAAATTTAAGAAACGATAATTGCAAATGACTGCAAATTCGTTAATATTCCTTCTTTTACATGAACTATGTTATTCATTTTACCTATAACTTATTATATATATTTTATTGTTCAAAATGTATTTAGAATCTACAATATAAGTATTTATATTTTCTTATTTTTCTATTTCTTACATGTTTGATTGAATCTGTTCTTATTTTTAAAATTTATTCCTATTTTTAGAATTTGTTACTATTTTCAAATAATTTATGTTACTAATTAAAAATGTGTTACTACTTTTAGCAAAGTGTGTTGAAGGTTGCATCATTCAGCCGTTAAACGAGTCGTACATTTATGAGTCATACCTTCGTATGATTCCGTTACCAAACGACAATTACCTCGTCACGTGGCAGTACTATAAACAATTTACAAACCAATCAGCGTTCAATTACGTCATTAGAGTTTTAGGTAAGAACGACGTCTTCGATCATTTTTGGCAAACAGGCGCTGTTTTTATGGCCTGATAATTGTGAATTAAATTTAAACAGATCTACAAATTTACTCTTTTTTTGTAATTCAAAACTAGAAAAACTATTTTAATTACTTTGTTCAAACATTATCAAAGCTGAATGTTATTTTAAGAGAAAAATGGAAATAAAAGTTTAAAGAAGACGTTTTTGGCCTTTCTAAAATTTATTTTACATGGCGATACAGGTGTTTTCTCTTCATATGAACCAGATAAATTCGGTTAAAGTGATTGCTGTATTTAATTTGATTTGTTATAATCAATTTCTTTATATGTTTTATTCAATTTATTTTTAAATTGAAAGAACGGCACTTAATAAAGATATAAATAGAGGATATTAAATTGTTCGTTTTGCATGTAAGATTGAAATATAATTTCACTGAGTGAACACCAGATGCAATATTTTCTCGAGTGGCGTAGCCACGAGTGAAAATATAATAGCTGGTGTTCACGAATGAAATATATTTCAATCTTATATGTAAAACAAATAAATTTTCTTTTTATTTCATGCTTTTTAAGTGATTTTAAGTATTTTTTACTGATTTTTCCGCGTAACATCGCGCATTTCTCTTTGTGACGTCATCACATCATGACGTCACATCATCAATTTTGAAATATAGTTCTGTTAAATTTTTCTAATTGTGTTACATTTTTAACATGATTTATGGTGACATCGACTTTCTTTTCCTAAAGAAGCAAAATTTACGTATGACGGCATTCATTTCTGCCTGTCATTCCGTTTAGTTTAATTTTCTTTCATCCGCATTCAGATATAGTCCGGCTACAGTGAAAATTATATTTTGTAAATTTCACTAGTGGTTTATCAGAATATAATCATCTGATATATTACAATAAAACGCTGGAAAGCATGAAATAATGACTAATAAAATCTGTCATATGTTGCGGTTCGAACCGGAATATCCGTCCCGAGGGGACCCGCCCATTGGGCGGTAACGAGGCTTGCCGAGTAACCGCCCATGGGCGGGATCCCGAGGGACGGATATTCAGGTCCGAGCCGCAAACATATGTTAGATATTTTTTCTTGCATATTCTGCCATATTATTTCATATCTAAAATGGTTTACCTCAATATGATATATGTTCATGGAAATTAAAGTCATTTTATCCCTAACTATTTTCTTAAAATAGCGTATGAACGTACAACTTTAATAACAACGGCGAAATGACGTCATCCTAAGCACATATTTCCCCAATCTCCACACAGTGATCTCCCCTTAATGCTTCGGCGTAGATCTCTGCCACCAAGGTCCCGATATATCAGAATTTCTGATATACTTTATTTTTTTCAAAAATTGTTTTATTTACTGCTTTTATCTATCAGTTAAGTTGTTTCTCATTGATTAAACAATGTTTATGAATAAATAAATAAATAATATGAATATTTAGAAATAATTTTAAAATTATGAAAATATTTTCTACCGAGACAATATTTTGATATTTTATATTTTTTAGCTTTTGAATTTATTTTTCGTTATTTTGTACACTTTTGATAATTTTTTGATAAACTATATCGAACGTAGGCACTAAAAGTTAAAAATAAAACAGAAAGAGAAAAATGACGTTAGATTTTCTATGTAACGGTCGACATTTACATTTGAATTTCGACGTTACGTCATGTGACTTTCATCATCATGTGACGTCTTTGAAGGCAGTGATTACAATTCTGCCAAGGGAGGTAATCACTGTGAGGAGTTTGATATTTCCCTTCTAAAACGACGTCATTTTATCGCGGTTCATTCATAAAGTGCGCTAAAATGACGTTGTTGTTTGGCACGCGACTCATCTGGCACCCCCCCATGCCAGATGCAATTTCCGGCATGGGTAAAACTCACGGAAACGCCAGTCTGCTATGCAAGAAATCCTAACTCCAGTCCCCTTTATGTATGTACGACATTTAATGCATAATTTTCAACGACGTACAAATTTAAAATTGTCATGAGCTATAAAAGTTGCATGCATCTTGATGAGTCAAACTATTTTTCGAAAATCAACCTTGAAAAATATGAAGTAATATTTTTTTAAAAAGAAAAACGTTTAATTTAAGAAATAATTTACATCTTTTTGACATAAATGACCGAGTTTTCCATGTTAATCACCATATTTGCACTGCGTGAATAACACTGTAAGCGCAAGTTTTTGAATATTCTGGCCAGTCTTTGGTAATTTTCAAAGATTCAATGTGTCGTTTGCAATGCGTAAGTTACTTTCTTTGATCATTTGAGTATATAATACTTTTTAAAACATCTAAAAAAAATCACGAAAATTAGCATGGATCTTTAGGCACGCTCTTTTAAATTACAAGAAATAAATAGTTACAATCTCAAGACGCCGCATTGTTGTAATTATTTTCAGGGGAACCATTTTTGAATCAGCTTTCAGCCAACCTTGTTCCAAACGGTAACAGATACTCTCTTCTGACCCAGTTGAACCGGAGTAAGACGTACACCATTAATCTTCAGGTCTTCAGTTCGAGCCATGGAGGTCGACCTTTAGCGTCACAGTATCTTCTAGTGATGCCAATGTCGGGTAAAAATTTGTTAATCTTTAAAGATATACTACGTTTATCTTTGGGTAAAATACTATTATCGCAAACTTTATTGAAATCTAGTAAAATCTTCCCGAATATGGCTAATTTGAATAAATAAATGATTAAATTGTGTTCGGAAAAATGCATTGTCTATTAATTTGTTCTAGTCTTATAAAAACTGCCTGTTTTATTTTAAACGGTACTATGTAATCATAATGCGAGTAAAGTTTTAAACGTAACATATTTTCTCTGTGTGTATTCAAAAGATGTTTACTTTACATTAAAATGATGACTGTATAATAGTTATCAGGTTTAAAGTTAAAAACTGTTGACGTCGAAATCTCGTTTTGAGATTTCTGTTGTTTTTTTCACTAAAGTATTGGAATTGATACTTACATGTCCAAAAAAAAAAAAAAAAAAAAAAAAAAAAAAAATACGTCCTGACTACGAAAACTCAATGGTTCACACTTTTCATCGAAATTTTTATAATATTAACTTTATTTTTCTTTGGTTCTCATTCACGTATACCTCTGGACTCATTTGGTTATTGTGTTGATTTAAAAGTAAATCAAAACAAGATGGTTTGAACCATAGATCTATTGGCCGGTCTACCGGTCAAGCTGTTGAAACAGAAATGTATTTTTTGTATTTTAGAGATTTGGCATGGCGACATGAAGGAGATATCTAACGTGGAGTCTACAGTTATCTACCCATGGTCGGCAACTAGCATTGATATGATTATAAATTTGATTGACGGAAAAAATGAAACAGCATTAATTGAGACATATGATTCTTGTAAGTTTAGGAGAAAATGGTGATGATGATGATGATGATAATGATGATGATGATGATGATGATGATTATCATAGTAATACTTATGATGAAAGTAATTATAATAATATGATTATGATGATGATAGTGATAATGATGATCACGATGATGCTGATGTTGTTGTTGTTGTTGATGATGATGTAGATGATACTAGTATACATGATGATGTTGATTATAAATATTTTTGTTGTTGATGATGATGATGACGGTTATGATGTTAATGTTGATGATGATGATTTTGATAATACTAATGATACTTCTTATAATAAAAGTAACAATTGTAATTATAATAAAAACAATAATCATGAATACTATCTCGTTTAAAGAGAGTTATTTTAAGACATCACGTGACCATTCATTCTATTTTTAAAACAAAATACCTTTTTTTTTTGGGCGATCTGAAGTTCAATGTTTCTATTCCAGATCATGTTCAAAACATACCAGAAGCAAATTTTACACTTCTTTCCAAATTAAACGCGGACGAAACCTGGGGCGGAAATATATCTACAACTCCCATAGGTAATAGTTCAAGTTTTTATCTCATTACCGTGCCGATTTTGCGACTCCGTAAAAATGGTATTGCACGGCCGTACATATAATTTTGACTTGACGTCATTTGCGTTATACAAACAAAGCGTAAAGACGCGCTTAATGTTAGCGTTATACTATAGGCGCGTCAATGAAAAATGATTCAGAGGCTCGCATTATATTATTTTATTAAATTCGTTTAATTATTTAGTTAATATTAGTTAATATCCTTTATATATTGTACATAGAATACAGTCGCGATTGCGTGACACAAATGTTTTTTTATTATTTTGATATGACAGACAATGATTCAATATTTAGAAAAACGAAACAAAACACAAACAAACACAATCTAGCAAAATATTTTTAAGCAGTAGAAAACAGCAGCAATACGCTAAAATATATGTGCATAAAGCACATGGGAGTAAAATAATAGCTCCATAGTGCAATTTCAGCCAAACTGACGTCACTGTCAACGGAAAATGGACATTTTAGTATCTAAATGAACACAGGAGTAAATCAAACCAGCTTCAATTGAAAATAAATCAATTGATTGGTGAACTTTGTGCTTATATAAGAAATATTGCAAGAAGTATTGCGAGTTTGCTAGATTTATTTATAATATATAATATATAAAAAATTGAAATCAAGTTATTCTTATGTATATCAATGCATGCATGATTTTAAAACTTTTAACAGTACCACAAATCCATCCAATGGAAGACGTGGTCATACAAGAAGACAAGTCATTAGTGATCACGTGTTTTGCCCAAGGTGATCCGTATCCAATGACGTCATTGCTAAATATATCCTCCAATCAGACGCTAGGGGGTGAGGAAATTGATGTAAACCAAACTATGTTTGTAAGTTAATTGTTCTTTTATCTTCAGAACCTTTAAAATGTTTTTTTTTCATTGCAAGCCTTTCATTTTCTATAAATTCTAAAATTGGTCAGCAGAGAGGTGACGATTTTGTGTCCTACACTATAGCATATAATTCCAACTTTTAATGGTGGAGGAATACCTCGAGTGCCACTTTATCCCAATGCTTTATTTCAGGCCAGAACAAACAGTTTTCCTATGATATTGAAATTATTTTGTTAAACGGACAAAGCAAAAGTCATATGACGATCTTCCAGCTTTAAATTATGGAAAAGTTACCTCAGGTGCGCCTGTGTTCCCTTGCTTTATTTTAGGCCAGAGCGGCTTAAGAAATTAAATTTAACTTCTTTAAACCAACATCTTTCACCCAGCAAAGACCAACATTTTTGTCTCCTTTAGCCTTAAAGGAGTTGCTCTGCAGAAATTGTTCAAAATTTAGATGACAATCCTTAAATTTTCTTAACTATCAAATAATCAAATTAACTATAAAAAATATATCAAATTTTTGAACTATCATATTACCTTGTTGGTAAATCATATTCAAAATATTTGGAGACCGTTGCCGAGCGATTAAGGTTGTTGACTTTCAACCATTTGTCCTTTACATCTGTGGATTAAAATGATGCCGTTAAGGACTTTGGATTATTTCATATCGAGAACTTTAAATTATACATTCTAGCAAGACTGACTTTACAAATTCTTTTCAGATAACTGTACTCTAACTACAACAAATAAAGGTCATTTTAAGTTTTTTAACACTTAAAGTAAGGTATAATATATTTGTTTTGTAGCTAAAATCACGTTTGTCAATTTTTTTACTTAGTTTTTTTTTTTAAATTATAAATCGTATGAACTAGAGATGTGCGTTTTAAGGTAGCATGCCTCCAGATTCCTGCTTATTTTCACGACAATTTTGAAAAATAATGGTTTTTTTTAAAGGCAAATTATTGTGAAGTGTACAAAGAACTACATGTATGTTACATATTGAATTAACAAACAGAGGTCAAAATAAGCAATAATAGTCTTTACTGCGTTAGAAACGCAGTTGAAATATGGTGCTAAATGCTCCAAAAATCAGTCATATTATGAAAATAATTCCACAAATCTTGAATCTTGCTATTTCTTTTTACTTTTTTTCACATTTTTTTGTAGATTTTTCTCAAGTTTGAATTATTTTGGTTCATTTGGAGGAATGCAGCTTTAAAATTAAACTTTGTTCTCATTTTTTCCCCATCAAATACAGATTGCTGAACCAAAATATGTTGGTAGTACTAGTCTGGTAGATGGTCGAGCATTTACTGGAGTCAGAAAGTTTATATCTATTACCAATGTGACATTTTGGGATTCTGGAATGTACGCATGCGCGTCAGAAAATATTGCCGGAAGTGACGTCACTACTTTTAAGATAACAGTATTTCGTAAGTCAATTATCTCGAAATACTACTTTAGTCAGTAATTGATTTTTAGAAGTGAATAAAATTTATGGAAAACATTTCCTAAACCGTCGCACTGTATTTATGTAATAGCAGGGTTTTTCTGTAAATTAGTGCTCTTTTTTCGAATGGCATTTGGTTAAATGTAAGGGTATGTGACAAAAACACCTGTAAGTGAAACAATCTTGCTATACCTTACTAACGTATTTTTTTTAGCAAAACCTCCAGGCAAAGTTATTGGATTGTATGCCATCTCACTAACACCATTCGAGATTGCGGTCGGTTGGCAAGCGCCTGATGACAAAGATTTTGAAGACCCTGGTCACGTGTTAGGATATCACGTGTCGGTGTTGGATGAATATCACGTGGTCCTTAGAGAGAAAAATGTTTCCGATACACTGATGACAATACAAAACATGGCTCCAAGTACAAGATACGGTGTATGTTTTGTTTATGTTACGAACATGAAGAAGAGCTGTATAACAAATATGCCAAAATAGTTACTTCCCTTTTACGTTAGGTTCACCATTTCCCGAATGATAATCTCCCTTTTCGAAAGTAAAGGTACTATTTTTAAGTGAATAAGTAAAGTATTTCCGTCTGGGATTAAACATTTATATTCCAAATAAGTAACGTGAAATAAAAAAAGGTCAAGTTACCCTTCTGATGTTGAGATAAATATTAATATGTTAAGATAGGCGGATTTCCTTAATTAGGGAACTTTATCAGGCAAAATATGTTAATTAAAACATGACTGGCGTTCTTTCAATGTTTTCCCATGCCGGCTTCTTCTTAACTAGCAGATATCTTAATACAGATACAAGTTGCGGCATTCCACCAGTTTGATGAAGGTGAGGATAGTTTGATACCCGTGAAAACACCTGATATACCAAAGTTAGGACCGCCACAAAGGATCCTTATGAAAACCTTAAACAGCACGGTAAGAACTTTATTTTTGTTTTATAATTTTGAAATCTTCATGAGATTTCAAAAAGTCAGCATAATTATTATAGATACATATTTATAGAGAGAAGTCAATTTACGTAGTGCGCAGCCATTTTTAACGTAACTAAATAATAATCGCCGGGGTATTTCGATTACAGAATAATCGCAACTTTTCGGCTTAAGAATAATCGTCGAGATGTTACGATTGAAACCGGAAGCGATGCATGGAACACCGGATGGCACCTTTAAAACGAAAACTGTAATATAAGTAAAGATGAACGTACGTTTTCCTTCCCTGCTCATTACATAGGCTTTGCCAACTTTCATATTATTTTTTTTCTGCTCATCACGATTCAATGATAATTTTTTGTGGTAAAATTACAGTAACTGTCAAATTGTTAAGTAATGTTAAATGGTCAAGGGAAATTACTCTTTCATTACAATTCGTGAGTATTGTGTAAGGATGATCTCCCTTGCACTAAAAGTTAATCTTAAAGTGTTGTACATGTAGGGCACAGTAGAACTTTGGTCAAGAATTGAAGGAATTAGGACAAATGACAAACATTTCGGCCTAAAAGTTAATTACTTTAAGGTCCTTGTGGACATTCTCAATATTGTCTTCAAATAAGCCAATTAAAACCGAGAATTTAATACCACATGATAACAAAATACCTTAAAAATAAATTCGCCATGTTTTTGTCGGGTTACCTATATATAGAATTGAAATACTATCTTAATGCACAAAGCCCGAAATCAGTGTGTAGGCTCCCACTGGATAGTCAATATATGGAATATTTCTGTTAAAAATTATCTCTATTGTTCAGAAAGGAGTCTATAACAGGTAAAACAATTCGAATACCCGGCTAGCATTTTTGGCAAAGCTTATACTTGTTATTTTAAAAGAGTTTACATCATACATATTTTCAGACAATACAGGTGTCATGGCTGCCACCGATAGAGGTTATTGAGCGACGCATTCACCTGCGTGCGTTCCGGTTTCATTATCGGGAAGTGGGAAGTCAACAAATAGAGGAGATGCAATTGGATAAAATGTTTACAAACGTTTCAATAATCGGTAATATTTTATTTCTCATTTTCACTGGAAAGTGTAAAAAAACATTATCAATTTGATAAAAAAATGTCTTTTTTGTGTTGGTATAGGAATATTGCGTTCATAAAGATGTTTCAACGACGTTAAAGTTTCTAAAATGACTATAGGAGAATTGGCGTTGGTTTAGTTTTTGTAGTGCTCTTTGTTTAATTTTGTTTGTTTTATCTTTGTGTAAAGGGCATCTGTAATTATTATAATGTTTTAAATATTTAACTATTGAACAAATGGCAATATATATAAATGCGGCTTTAAATGCGGAGTGAGAAAATCACGTTTCAAACATTAAAGAACTGATCCAAAATATTTCAAAACGAAGCAATTGTTATTCAACCTATCTACCATTTTACTCAAAATTTCGAAATAAACATTTTAAAACGAGTCAAGTTTCCATCTGTCAGGTTTCGGAACACTTTGACCTTTTAACACCGTCACGTTCTCAACCCAAGTTACGATGGAAACTGTCTCTTTAAACTTGCTAATGTTTTTATACGATTCCATTGATTCTCTAATTTCAAATACTTTAGTGCTTTTATCATTGATCGTTTATACATTTGATATTGAGAGGTTTATTAATAAGTCTCGTTTGATTAAGTTCAATATCAATTTAGGTTTGATGCCGGAGAGAAAATACGAGGCACAGGTTTTAGCCATGTCCGAGGATGCTCAGATATCGTTCACTGATTGGATACAAGGCAATACATCTAGGGAATCCTTCATGAACGGTAAGTTTAAATGTCATACTTTATCCGAACCACGTTTCTTGCAAGACCTACACATTTGGTCCTAAATAGTATACCAATTTGTGTAAAGGCAACGTAACAAATCATACATTGCGGAAAAGGTTCACAAAAGTTAACATTCTAGATCACCATTTTGCACCAAAATGTATTCTCTCATTTTATATCATGCCAATTTAACGATGTTCACATAAATATCATTATATCCTTCAATGTGTAAACTTAAATAATTAATAATCATAAGTGTAAAGCCCAGTTCCAAAACAAGTGTTTTTTTTAAAATATATTCTCTCCAGTGTGTATTCTCGTGTTGTCAGTCACACAAGTGTGAAGAAAAGTGCAAAAGAATACGAAAGTCTTTTAATATATAAAAAAAACAGTCAAAAACTATATTTTACTGAAATACCTTTAATATAATCATACAATATGCTTTCATCTTTTTATTAACAATTTGTTTTTTCCTTCTCCTTCAATAAAGAGAGCGTAGTACCGCCGCCACCCAATAACGTGTACCTCAACCTTCAAAATGGTAACATCATAGTGTCATGGTTACCTCCCTTCCCTGACGAAAATATTCTCGTGCGAGGTTACGTCATTGATGTTTTCTACAACAACACAAAACTTCAGTCGATGCAAGTTGACCACGAAGAAAGCAGTGTTATTATTTACGGTGTAGGTAAGTAAAACAGTAGTTTCTTAGTGCAATATGTAAAAATATTAATTTTAGTTTAAACGTCACTATTCGAAGAAAAAGCAGAGCTATTGCCGTGATATAAAAATGTCTGGAGAATTGTCTAGTTTTGCAGCAGAAATACACGTGTTTTTGCGGTACACGTAATTAATATTTTGTTTTGTTTCGGAAATACACATTATATCGGATACTCACTTCAACTGTTAATATTTGTCTCAGGAATGCATGTTTATGTGTCAGATGTTCGCGTGAAATGTTTGGTTTTGTTTTAGAAATACACGCATTATATGTCAGATGTTCGCGTGAAATGTTTGGTTTTGTTTTAGAAATACACGCATTATATGTCAGATGTTCGCGTGAAATGTTTTGTTTTGTTTTAGAAATACACGCATTATATGTCAGATGTTCGCGTGAAATGTTTGGTTTTGTTTTAGAAATACACGCATTATATGTCAGATGTTCGCGTGAAATGTTTGGTTTTGTTTTAGAAATACACAGATGTTCGCGTTAAAAGTTTATTTGTTTTAGAAAAATGTTATATTATATCAAATGCTCGCGTTAAATGTATTGTTTGTTTCAGAAATACACAAATTATATCAAATGCTCGCGTTAAATTTTTGTTTTGCTTCAAAACTAGATGTATTAACAAGCACTATTTTGGTTTTGTTTAAAAACTAGGCGTAATTATCGATAACCTAGAAGGTTTTCTCCTGTTTCAAAACTAGGTGTATCTAAAAAAATATATTCATTAAATGTTAAGTTTCAAGTTACTAGGTGCATTTAGTGCAATACCCTCCTTAAATGTTAGTTTGTTGCGAAACTACATGTACGTACGAAATTTACATTGAATTTATTTTGTTTTCAGAAATGGGTGTATTATACAGGATTTCTGTCAGGGCGAATAATAGGGCGGGTGAAAGTATAGATCAGTGGGAGGAGCTTAAGATACCGGTAGAACGTAAGCACGTGCTTTTTAACATGCTTTCAAAAAAAGAGAGAAATCATGGATAATGGTTAGACAAGCATTGGAGTTTTTTAAAGAATAAGTTTTATGTTTAAATATCAAATACAAGAATATGAGATACAGCATATTATTCAGGGTCAATACTTTCATGGGGTTTGAATGAAAGTACATGTAAATCGTTCATATTTATATGTTTGGAACTGAATGAAATATGTGAAATGAATTTTTCATGTTTTTTTCTCTCTCTTTAAAACTCACATCAGAGGTCACCAAGGAACCGGTACAGAATTTTAAGGGAGAAGCGTTATCATCAACTAAACTTGAACTAACATGGGATCCGCCCGAGTCCGGAGTGTTTTCAAGGTTTGTTCTCTCGTACACACTGGCTGGTAACCTGAAGCCGGAGTTACCTGGAGGCGGTAATCTACCAGCGAGCTCTAGGAGCTACATAGTAAGGTATGATAGTACAGTAAGTAATATATTCTCTGCTGGTTCTAGAAGGAACATAGTTAGGCAAGAAATATAGTTAATAGTAAAGTTACTGCTTGTTCTAGAAGGAACATAGTTAGGCAAGAAGTACAGAAAATAATAAATTCTTTAGGAACATAGTTAGGCAAGAGGTACAGTTGATAATAAATTATCTGCTAGTTCTAAAAGGCACCTAGTTAGGCAAGAAGTATATAGTGAGTAGTATAAACATAAAACATTCTCTCACCGGATAACTCTCTTGGATGGGCTAGATACCATGTATGAAGAAGAATAATATATTATACTTTTTTCTTCTAAATTTGCTTCTTTTGTACATTGCTCACCTATATACTGTTTTCTGTCGTCTGCTTCTGGTTACATATTTCAGTAAAACTTCCTAATTTCAAGATGGCGCATAACATTTATCAATATGGCGCGGTCTATATATTCTGAATGCAAATAAGTCATGGTCATATGTGTTAACTAATTAAGCAATGTCGTTTCAAGTTCAGTTATCGCTAATTGACTGAAACTGTATAATTGGAACATTTTAAGACATTATATAACAAGACATTATCAAATTATAGAACCCCAGACATGATTATGAGTGAAGGGAAAGTTAGACAGACGAGAAGCCATTTAAAATATTCAAATTACTCGTAGATTTTCATGAAAGTGCAAAGGTTACTAGGTTTTATTTTGTCAACTTTTAGAACTAAAGAAATGTAAATAAACAAAAAGAAATAAAAACACAAAAAACTCCTATACAGAAAATAAGGAACGAATAACTCTCTAAGAATTATAAATATCCTTGTTTTATTATCCCCCCTTTTGTGGGGGAGAATATAGTTTTAACAACATCCGACCGTCCATTCATGCGTCCGCCACACTTTATGTTCGGTTAATAACTTTATTTATGGATCGGTTTTGAAATTGATTTGCATAAATGATAACTACAATGTAACGTGGCTGCGCAAGAATTAGGTATCCAGCTTAAGTCAAGAACACATTCGTGATATTAGAATTTCATAAAGATGCACTGCCAGTAATTCGGTCATTCCGAATACCTCAGAGGTCAAGGTCACTCTTGTTGATCGATTGCGAATATATTGCCATGTGCGGTCTATGACTTTGTCATTAATATATGAATTTTTGAACTAATTATGCATTAATATTAATCAGATTAAACGCTTATGTGCCGCAAACGTTAACAATGTTTCTAGCCCAGAGGTTAAGGTCGCGGTTTACTTGAAGGGTACGGTGTATTGATATTCGTGTTAGGTCAACAATTCTGTCATTCATTGAGTGATTTTGAAAAATAAACCCCTAAAACTTGTATAGTTGTGTTGCATTTTAAGATGATGAATCGCTGTCAAAAATAATTATCAAGCTAAAAAGTGAAGGTCCTAAACATGTAACGCATTATTGAAAAAAAAAAGACTTGTGACGAACAATCGGATTTTTGACAGTTGGAGAGTCGGTGTTGGTATATATTATTGGATGTCAAAATGTTATATTTTATATCGATGGTTTTGTCTGTCATATTTTCTATAGCAATATATATGTACTATCTAAACAATAGCTAGTTTATTCGTAGATAATGTTGTTAACTATATATAAATTGTGTATACAATAAACAAACTATTTTTTAAATAAATGTACTGGTTAGTTACAAAGATTCTTAATTATCTGATGTCAGTTTGATTCAAATACTTGAAGTGTTAATTTATCATTTTATATATTGACAGGTCTTTGAGGCCGTATACGGGATATTTCTTCCAAATTACACCGTTTCTTAAAGACATACGAGGTGTGACGTCAAACACAACAGTGGTGACGTTGACTGATAAGCCTATGGCGCCACCTACAAATATTTCACTCACTGTACTGAATGCGACAGTAAGTACCTACAAATATTTCACTCACTGTACTGAATGCGACAGTAAGTACCTACAAATATTTCACTCACTGTACTGAATGCAACAGTAAGTACCTACACATATTTCACTCACTGTACTGAATGCAACAGTAAGTACCTACAAATATTTCACTCACTGTACTGAATGCAACAGTAAGTACCTACAAATATTTCACTCACTGTACTGAATACAGTAAGTACCTAAAGTATTTTAATTAAACGTAACGGACACTAGTGGATATGTATTCGAGTTGACATATTTACAGTTTCCAAATAATGACGTCTCAGTTTTATAACACAATTTCACGTGGAACAAACTGCACTATAACTATACCGTCACCTTAGTACAATAACTGAATAACTGCTATGAAATTTAGAAGCACTTATTTTGCATTATTGCACTAAGGTGACGATACGCACATTCTTGCGGACGCAGCTTCGAGTTTAATATGATATTACCCGAAAACACGTCAATATTTACCTATTGAGTAGGGTTTGATTTCGTTATTCCTTTCGAATGAGAATTAAATGGCCATTGAAGCTACCTCGTCATTACGCAAACATTAATGTTCAGGGATTGTTTTTTAAGTTTAAATATTAAGTAAATAGTTTTATTTTGAAGCGCACAAGAGGGTCGAACAAGTCTGAATGACACAACTATTTTTTATATAATTTGGGTGATTTCCGTGCACATTGTAATAAATGGTAAAGTGTCTCAGGTCAAGATAACCATACAATACATATCTCATCAATTTACCATTCAATAAATATCTCATAAATTCAGCGTTTCTCAGTTTTATTTCTCTGTATTCGCATGCAAGAAACCAAGAAAATATTAATTTAAAAAGTCGGGAGTCCATTTACTGGTCTGACAATTTCCGTGCAAATTTCAGACATTCATGTTTTCCTCGGCCTTTATGCCACGTGACTTGTCTATTAATGATATAGGGAAAAGTACGAAGCCTCTAATGTAACACCATAAACCCTTTTTATGATTTTTTTCCTTGTTATTTCGTTTAAACGAATTATCGCTTTGTTTGTTAATAAAAAATGTAAATTTTCTATTTAATAGAGGAAATTTGTTTGTTTTTGTGTAAGATTTGTATAAATAAATATCATTTTTTATGAAATTTTCTTTATATTGAATAGAATATCAGAATATGATTTCCCGACTGGCAGCCCTCCATTTCAGACTAATTTCTCATAAATACATGAAGTTTTGATCTAAAAATAAGTTCCAAAATCAACGTAAATGGCGATGATATATTTATTTTATCAAACAGTAAGAATGATCGCTTGTTTGAATAATAAAAAACAGTTCTAGTAGAAGAAAATATCACACAATCAGTCCTTATTTCCGTTATTTTCAGCGGAAGTTTATATAACATTAGGCTTTGTGTACATGTGTAATATCAACATCCGTCAGTTTTCAAAGTTGTGTATTTCACGGGAGGAAAATAATTGTGTTTGCTTCAGAGGGATTTCATTTTGATTTGTTAGTCATGAATCTATTAATAAGAAAAAGAAACTTATTTGAGGATTGTTACAGACAATAAATAATTCTTGACAAATTTGTAAACATTCAAAAAGCGACTATGAATTTGGACAGCATGGAATTGTTGAAAGGCTGTCTTTTAAGTACTGTCTTACGAACGCTGAGTTGTTTACTTATTCTTTGGGCTGGTGACAGTCATTGCTTTTCATATGGCATTAAGCAGTTATTGCTCGTAGGATACTTAAATATGCCAAAAAGTAATCAAGAGCAGTTTCGCATATGGAAGGAAGTTTATTTTTAGACTGTAAAAGTGAAACAAAAACATTATGGACGATATTTGGTGATTTGTAATTTGAAAGAATTGAAGTAAGATTTTTTTATTTTTATTACTTTTGAAATTTAAGTTATTTGTCAACTTTTGCTTTGCTTTTCAATGTCAGAATTGTAAGCAAAAATAAAATTGATGTTCCACATGGCGAAAATCGTTAGACAGTAGTCTCGTCATTGAAAATTGTGAAAATATATTTTGATAATTTTCACTGTGAAAATACACAAAAAACACTGAAAAATACCCACATGAAATACAAAAAAATTGAAGAGGAAGAAATGGTCATTTTTGTTAAAAACAATTGATTGTTTTTCTTTATATTTTTGTTTAATGATTTCTATTTTCGTTTATGATAATTATATGTATTGTTGAGTTAAGTTTACCATAGACATTTTCGATTTTTCGTAAATGAATATTTTTTTTCGAATTATTTTGTTTAAACGAACAATTTTTCATAAAAAAGGAAATTGCTGTATTGTGTTGCATATTGCACTCCGTACATTCAAGGAGAAGCGTGATACGTTTGTGAACTTGAATTCAGAAAAAGATTTTGTTACAGGAGGTACGCCATTACATGCAGACAAGTTAATTGCAAACAAATAACTTCGGAGTCTCATCTTTCGCATTAGCAAGTCTCTCGAGTATATCGTGATAATGTGATATAAGCAACAGTTCAAGCTTACAATTCTAACTTTGTCTTTTAGTGGCACAAAAAGGAGATAAAAGACTATACACTATGCATTATACCGGTGTACTTTAAGAATTTTGAATAGTTTTCTTTATTACAGCGTGCCTAATTTAAATGATTTCCGGAGGATTTTTTTTAGTTTCCGGTATATCGCTATAGTGTCTGACATTTTAAGAAATTTTTGTGACGTATTTGACCGTACAGTTAAGAACATTTGACAACACCTCCGATTTGATCTGGAACAAAAGAGTCTGTTCGTTTGTTTATTTGTTTCGGATTTTCGGCGAACCAACACAGTTTAAATCAAAGAAATAAATATTAATACATTTTTTTACTTACCATGAACAGTGGCTAAATACATGTATTTTCAGTCCAAATTAGAGATTGTTCGATTTTGTAAGGCTTGCGGTCCAATAGTTTCTTAAAGCCTTTGTTTCATCTTCTAAATCAATAACACAGTCATTATGTGTCACATGTACGAAAGACCAATGGGGACATTTCAACTTTATGAATTCCCGATTTCATCTTCATGAATTCACGATTTCAGCAATCATGAAGTTGAAAGTTGCAAGAATCGTGGGTTGTGTGAGTCAAAGGAAGTCTTTAGATAAAATATGACACAATTTTGCTTCTTAATTTCTTAAAAGCAATGCAGCTGAACATTAACACACTGAGCTAAACCATATTGTAGAGAAAGATTTTTTAAGTCTTAAGAATTTGACTTTAGCAAAAATGATTACTTACACGGTCTTAAGTAAGATATACAATTACAAAGATTACACCCTAGGACATATGATACACGCAGGACATTCTATACAATGCAGTCACTGCTTAAATACAATAACGTCAATGTGAAGCTTTGACAAGGGTGTAGCTTAGTAAAAAAATATAATATAATTAAACATCTGCATGACCCCCTCCCCCATGATTTTTATTTCTCTAAATTGCCGGAGGTGAGTTTTAGCGTATGTTTTTAGCAGGAAATAAATTTGTTTATGGGATTTCTAAAATTGTGCAAGTAGACAAAAAAATATATATTTTTTCTAATTTCTTAGAAAAGCGTATAAGAAGCGGTCTACACGCATGATCAAGCTTCGGTATTATGAAACTATAAGATATAACTTTGAAATAGAATATTGAACAATTTTTCATTGTTTTTTAACTTTAGAAATGGCGTATCAAAATTTACAACTGGAGTAATAAAAATCAATGCTTACAAATGGCGTATTAGATTCAAAGTTTACAAATGGCGTATTAGATTCAAAGTTTACAAATGGCGTATTCGTTTCAAAGTTTACAAATAACGTATTATAAATGAAAGTTTACAAATGACGTATTCATTTCAAAGTTTATAAAGGGGTGTATTAAATCCAAAGTAACAAAAACCATGCATTCTCGTTACAGACTATCCGGATAAGATGCTCTCCACCCGAGACCGGTAAAAATGGACCAATTATACAGTACAGAGTAGCGTACCGTGAACGGGATTTTAGAGATAACATTCTGACAGATGCAGATGACAACGAAGAATTAGATTATTATCTGAATGGTAAGATTCTCAATGAATTCCAGAAAATCGAGGAAATTCCTCTAAAACTGTGTAAATGACTTTTTTTATTCGACTTATTAAAATTGGTTGGTGTCTGATTTTAAAACTGATTCAAGGCATAAAAGGGCTTAGCATATAAGACATAATTATTATATGAAAAAATGGATAAATAATTCAATTTAGGTTGCACTTAATTACATTAAGGTCTTAAATAAAATACTACATGACATTGTATTTGAAAAAAAATCTATGTTAAAGGCCCATTATGTCTCAGAAATGCTTTTTCTCTTTTCTCAGACTCTTTTTTTGTGTGTATTTCCTAAAATTAAGTCATTGACAATCAACAAGAACTGTACTTTTCTTCTTTTTTTTGTTTGGCAAATGAAAATAAACACTTTCAAAGCCACTCCATGTGTAGCAAATCTAACCATCGGGTTGAACGCATCATGTCTAAATATGTTCTCTTGGTGCGGAAAGACTGGTCATTTCTTGTGAATAAAAACGAAAAATGACGCATAACTGTCTCTCTATATTTTGGTTATTTTCTGCCAACAGTTTGCTCATAATTTGCGCCACAGCAGCCCTAATCTCTATAAATATTACGAAAATAAGTATTAAAGGGACTCCACTGAGGTTTAAAAGCCTAAAAACATAACATTAGAATTTCTTACATAATTGAACTGGGGCGCTTTAAACAGAAATATATATGCAAAGATAAAATATAAAGAAATATACTTTAAAATAAATCGAAAATCGTATTTTTGTGCTTTTCTTAGCCTTATTTGAGTGAAAAGCGTTTAAAAGCTTTTCATTGTGGGTCATTTTTAAACAGTTTGAATAATTATTATGGAATAACGAAGTGCGCGAATGATCTAAAAGTTTGCACAAAGATTCGTGGCCTACACCTACATCAATTGGTACATTTATCTGGAAATTTTTTTTCAGTCCCATCATGTCAAAAATCCTCAGTGGAGTCCCTTTAAGATTTAACATGTAATCGTATATTTTCCAGGTTTAGAACAAGCAACAGTGTATGAGATCAGGGTTCGAGCTCTCACAGTGAATGGTTCCGGCCCTTGGTCGGCATGGTTACAAGAAAAAACGGCTAAACGATGTAAAATTATAATCTTTTTTTTATTTTGATATTTTTTATGCATAATTATCGTTTTAGCAATTTGTTCTATCTTTTTAAATTGTAACTTGCAAATGTTACTAAAGGATTTGAATAATTATATTAATCTATAGATTAAAGAAGAACATGGGTTGGGGTATAAGTGACAACTCAATATTTAAAGTTCAAATTCGTATGCGAAAAAGAAATCTTTATAGAATAAAAAAAACCATGATAAATACATAGAACAGAAAATAAGATATCAGTTCAAACAATTTGGAGCAAATTTATTAATAATATTTCTTTTTTAAGTTAATTTAAAATACAATCTTACCAGGTATATCTTTGATCGTTTATTTGAAATTATTGTTTGAAATTCAAATTTCCAACCCCCCCTCCCAAAAAAAAATATAGTAAATAAAAAAACAACAAAAACCAAAAACAATCACCCCCCCCCCCCCCCCCCAAAAAAAAAAAAAAAAAAAAAAAAAAAAAAAAAATAAATAAAAACAAGCAAAAAAAAAAAAATCACCCCTCCACCAAAGGAAAACAACAAAAACAAACAATTACAACAAAAAACAACAAGCAAACTAATACAGAACATTCAGTAAGAGACAGTAGTTTTACAAGGAACATAATAGTTCAACTCAAGCTAAAGTTCTAATTCTGACTGCCTTTGGTTAGAAAAAATCAATGTGCAATGTCAAACTATGATGTCTCTCCCATCCAATTATATTCTCTCTTCCCGAATATACAAGGCATTAATGTCTTATTTCCTTAGATATCTTAATGCGTATGAATATACAAATGCGTATGAATATACAAAGTTTATATAATACACGAGACATTTAAAAGAGAGTAGGTGTTTTGTTTATATATAATTTTCTTTTATAGTGCCCGTTTTACCGAAAATACCTCAAAATTTGACAGCCTCTGTAACCGATAACACCGTAAAGCTAACATGGTCACTACCAGACCAACACATCGGAGAGATTACGGGATTTGTTGTTGGATTGGGGCGATTTATACCGGAAGTCCATCGTGATAGCGTCACAAAGGATAAAACAAGCTATGTTTTTGATAGTTTAGGTAAAACATCAAAACTTTGTCCTGTTTATTTTATATGATAGTGACATGTTCTTCCTTTCTTATTTTCAGTGACCGCCCTTTCTTATTTGGCCGACTTGTCTTTCAAGGTTAATACTATTTATAGATCAAGATCATGCTTAAATTGCTTTCACTTGTTGATGTTCTTTTCCTTGGTGTTAGATAATAATATAAATCATATTCAATAGTAATAATAATTCATTTAACAAAATTATAACAATTTAAGAAACATTCAGTAATTAGCCGTAAGGGTCAAGGTAATTTTAAGGTCAACGTCTTACATGAATTGATCAACAAGAAAAAGTCAGAACAATTGTTGTTTTTGCCAAGTATAAATTAATTCATCTATTGATGACAAAGTTGTGGCAAAGTTAAGCAAAATTCAAAAGTTGGTAATTTTACCACGAAGGTCACGGTTATACAAATATCGAAGTCAAGTTCAGTTTGACCTACATAAAGATATTCATCAAGTTATTGTTCAAACTAATTGATCAAAATTTAATAATTTGACCTTGAATTCTAAGGTCATTCAAAGGTCATTGTCGCATCTGACTAAGACGACACTGTAATGTTATAATATGACTTTAACACTGTTGACACATTCCCATGATTAACATTTTCCTGAGATAAATAAAGCATGTAATTTTTTCTAATTATCTAATTTTTGTTTAGATTTTTTTTTTTAAAATTAGGATAATTACTTTTGCTTATTAGTAAGCAATGATGACGTGAATTATACTAGGAAACCTTATCCAACTCACAGATGATTTTCGCATAAACCTTTCTCTCTCCGTACATTTTCGAAGTAATTTACAAATCTTTATTACTTTACCAAATTTAGAACAGTCAATTACACGAACAAGTCTCAGCCGTCTAAATATAATTTTTCGCTTTTTAGTTCATTATCTTTTACGTATTATTCCGTCTGGGTGATGTAATTGCATTTTCTGCTTATGCATTAAAACAAAATACAACTGGCAGGTGCTTTAAACTAATTGGGTGTTATGTAATAAGGTAAATCACCCAAAAAGTTTTTTTTATATTTTCGGCAAATTCCGTTTCAAGACCTTTCTGTTTCTTAAAATGTTAATGAGCATATTTGGTAATCTGATTTGTTCTTGTTATGTAGACGCTTTTAAGGTTTTAAATGCCCCGGAAATAGGCGAAATATTCCAAACATTTATAAGTCTGTTTCTCCTTTTTGACGAATAATTCGTAAATTCTATGTATTTCTTTGATGAGAAGTTGCTTCATCATTCTAGATTCTGTCCGCTTCAAATCTCAAATCCTTAGAAGTCTAAAAATGTTGAGGCTATGTATGTATTAGAAACTTTGCGGTAATTTATTTTCTTTCCTGTGTTTCAGATCCAGAGACAGTATATATTGTAAGCGTAAGATCGTTTAACGACTTCGGTGAAAGCGCTGCTGTATTTGAATTGGTAACAACTGAATAAGAGTGGAACGAAATGAAGATTTAAGCCGAAAAGAATATTTACTAGAAACTCGGAAATTTTGAAATGCTAAGATACTTACGTTTGTGGGTGGTGTTTGGTGTTGATTTTTCAAATAAAGTACGAGAGTTTAACTCAGTGAAAGAAAATACTGTGAACTCAATTAATTTCGTGGATATGAAATTTAGTGATTTTGTCACAAGGAACATTTGCGTGGTTCCTTACATTTGTGGACCTTTTTTGTATTCCTAAAAGATATAGTGTTAATTATGGGATGTAAAATAATCTTACAGCAGACAAAATGAAATTCCTTGAAATTCGTGGGTTGACTTATCCACCAAAAACGGGAATTTTAGTTCCCCACGAATAAAAATGATTTTTGCAGGAGTAAGACCTGCTCTCAAAGATAAAGATGTTAAATGTTATTAATTTATTAGCAAAGCCCGCAAAACAACTTGGACAATTACTCAGTTTTTTCTCCATTAGATCAGACACATACCATGGAATCTCTTTGGGACCAAATATATAGTCAAGTGGTATTTTATATCCAAGTTTATGAAAATTCTGATATGAACATACTTGAATGGAATAAACGCTTACGAGCAACGACCCTTACCATGTATTAAATGTTGAAAAGTTGACAGCTGAGTACACCAAAACTAAATTTCAGTTTAAAGCAATGTGCACTTTTAATGTTATTATTTTTGTTAGTTTTGTACCATGTCCCTAAATTCTAACTTTAATACTTTTATTTTTGCTTTGATGTTAATACTATTGCCATTTTAAAAAACCCACAAGATTCTGTCTTACCCTTGCTAGCATGGATACATTACATGTATTTGTGTATTTTTAAATCTGAAAAAAATAATTATTCATCATTTAGATCTGTTTCGGAAAAAATACCAAAATATGTAATGATTGAATATCAAACAGTGGAGACCATGGTCAACCAGCCCGGATCTTTAAGAAGGTCTTGGTCTGCACTGGTCACATGGGTAGACCCTACATACAAAATCAGTTCATGCTAGCATGTTAGGAGATTGGGGCGATTATTACCGGTTAGGACAGAAATCGCTTGACCCGGCTTCAAATATGAAAAACAAGATTAACAATAAAGGGTCGCCTCTAATTAATGCAATCTCACACAACCATCAACAAAGGACAACTGACAAGGTGCCCAACAGGACACCAAACAAAAAGTTTATAGTTTTAAATGGTATGATATCATGCGTGTTTACTAGATTAAAGAATAATTATTATTGTACATGTATATATGCAAAAAATGTTCTATATAATAGATTTAAAACGGTTGTTTATACTTTTAAAGGAGATCTACCTTCATATTGTATCGTGTTATAATAAATATGCAATGTGTTTTTTTTTCTTTGTTTCTATTTCTATTAATTGTTTTGATAAACAAAATATTGTAGATATTAAAACAACTTAAGATGAATTTTTATTGCAAATATAGAATATATTCAAAATGTAATTTTATCACATGACATTCTTATTTAAATGTTAATATACTATTAACTGATCAGGATCCATGCTGTTCGCTTACAGACCCATTAACAAGTTAGGAAACTGATAGCGAACAGCATGGATCCTGATCAGACTGCGCGGATGTGCAGGCTTGTCTGGATCCATGCTGGTCGCAAACCCAAGCACAGTTACACCAGCATACAAATTGCATTGTGTATAATATACAAATAGAAATCAAAAACGTAAGGGAGAGAATCATAGGAAGAATGTGCTAACCAGAGAACTCGGGTTAATTTGAAAACGGGTAAGAATATGTAGGGGATATGGAAAGAAAAAAAAAGAAAACAACAACAACCAAAAAAAGCCTCAATAACGTGCATGACCCCGGACAGTTATGTGTATCACACATTCAGCAATTAATTCCAAGTAATTTCATTACATTTATATGGATTTCATTAGAAAATCTGCTTTTTGCTGATATAAACGCTATAATTACGCTATATTTACGGCTTCAGTACCGTCAATGCTCATTACTAAAGTTTTAATTGTTGATTTTTTAATTGAGAACGCAATTTGTGAGAATTTACCACCCGAATGCTCATATTTTTAAAGTGATTATATTGTACTTGGATTTCAATAACAACAATTTTAATGTAGTTTACTTCTGTTTTTCTTTTACAAAATAGTGCATTGAAACTCGCGAAATTTGTAATTATAAAACAACTAATATGACTTGCAGAAACGTCGGTAATTATAGTTTTGTTTCTTGAAAATGTCAAATATAACAAATGATCAATTGTTAATGAATGTTTCAAAATAAACAGTATCGTCGCTTTCAATCAATATTAAAGAACACATTTTACGGTGAAATGTGCATGTCAGGATATAAATTCATGACTGAATGTTTTAAAACAGCACGCAAACATGTGATCGAAAAGCAATAAATCATAAAAAATGAAGGGAATGTGCAATAAGAGAATGCACTAAATTCATTTAAATCAAGCTTTAAACAGAAACTACACTTTAGAGATTTTATTTAGCGTGTTTCAATATAAAGACCATTTCAATGATTTGAAGCTTCGTGCTCAAAATGCCCGTAAATATATAAGAATTATTAGTATTCATTCGCTTGCTAATTTATGATATCAAACAAGGAAGTATGTTTTTCCGCGTAGGATTTGTTTATGTTAAAAAAGCCGTTTTACATTTATTGAATATCACGCTCCCAAAAAACCGCACATAAAAGGGAATACTGGCACAATTTGATGGTAACACTCACGTTCCTTGTCAACAACGGAATGATCTTGTATAATAGAAATATATATCGATAATAATTTGGCACAATTTGCAGGTAACACCCACGTTCATTACCAACAACGGAATGATCTTGTATAATAGAAATATATATCAAACAATTGCAAAAATATAGGGATAATAAGTTAACATTTCAATACTGAACGCTTGAAAATTGATTTGTTTTTCCTTGTAAAATTTAAAATATATTTTCATGACATCATTTGTTTAATTGACGTCAGACCTGGTTTATCTGTAAGAAATATATACATAGTTAAATCCATTCTAATAACAATGTTCTCATAGTTGTATTGTAAATTAATATATTAAAATGATATTATTATAAAACCTACACTAGAAGTGAATTCCTTTTTTAGATAAGTAATATCTATTCGTCGTATGATAATGTATCTCTCAGGCCTACGGTCTTCGTCGTCAAAACGCAAAACCGATGATAAAAAGTCGCAAAGCACCACTCAGACCGATGTTATTTCTTTAATAATGCGCTCGTTTAGAGAATAACTTGAAGCGTGTTATAATTGTAATTTATGTATTGTAAAAATTAAAACAATGTTGTTCAATTCTCTGGAGCAACACAAAGAATGGGAACTGTCAATTCAAATGTCTCGTATCATAAAATATATGTTCCTAGTTGCACTCAACTGTCCCATTGAATCAGTCATTTCAAAAAATATAATATGTGGATTTCCCATTATAAGCTTGTTGAACAATTTTGAATTTTGCAAGTGAAAAGTGAAAGACCAACAACTGTTGATAATAGGAGAATTAAATTTTTATTCTCCAACTTTAAATTTTGCAAACCGAAATAAAATATTTTACAAAAAGTCGATTTATTATTGCATTCTCCGGCGAGAAATGGAATTTGAAAACTGTAATTTAAAATATGATTTAGAAGGAAATTTCAATTCTAAACGGAATATAGTCGTAATATTGATGTTTGAATTACTATAAAGAGCTATAGCAACAAACATAGTTTTGTTCTACTTTACATCTAGAAATTCTCACTGAGATATTGGTTAACGATTTTTTTTAATTTTCCATAAAAAGCAAGATGTAGCATTTAATAAACTGTAGTTTATTGACTTTGGTAACGAAATATTGTGTCTCATAACTGTAATCCATGAATTAAGAAAAGCGCAGTTTTTATGTTTATAAGAATGATATTCATAAGGTCTGAAGTAATTTAAATTTAGATCGAGCTCCTTTTTTCTAAATTATTGTGCTAAAGAGACGTTTGTTTACCTGATTTTGACATAAACACGGATCTAGAGCTCAGTGAATAAACCAAACTATAGGCCTCAACAGACGGTAGGATTTTGAAGTACAACACCATTAACACTTAGTTGAACAAAGAAAATCTCAAGGCTACTATGTCTTGAATTCGTGCAACTTAAAACTAGTTTAACAGGACAAGATATGTTGGATTTCTTAATGACATATGACATATTTCACAATTATCCCCTGTTTTGTTGTTTTTCAAATACTAACCATAACTAATTTAGTTTTGTACAACTACATTCTACCGTCTGGTGAGGCCGTATCATTGGTTCAAGTAAAGCTTGGGTCGATTGTTTCTCGGAAAATGTCAAATTTTCTGTCACAATTGATCTTGGACGTTGTAATAGACTTTTAATAATTTAAGAAAATTGAATGAATATTAGTGAATATTAGGTGGTCACTTAAGGTGTTATTGTAAATTAATGGTCGGCTATTTTAGGTGAACGGTTTGTCGAGATATGACCACAAGTGTGTTGAAATTGGCATAAAACTTGTACAAATGAAAACGAAAAACAACAAGAACACCCCCAAACAAAAACAAAACAAAACAACAACACAAAAAACGAGGATCAAATTGTGTCTTGAATGAATAACAGTGTAACTAAATGCATACTAGTTTAAAGGGAAAGACAAGGTTAGAATAGAAACTTGATTTCAGAAAAAGAATACTATAAATAATAAATCTGCAAATTTTCTGCCGCCAAATAATAATATTAAACGAATGATATCAAAATTTAAATCGCTAAATCATCGATTTCTACAAATCAGTAAGCGCGGCCATGTTTGTGTATTGGCCGTATAGAAACAGGTGCGCGTGATGTCATTTCCCCACATCTTTAGATTCATGATAAATCTAGTTGAATCGTAAGGAAAAATTAATATAATAAAGTATTGACCAGACAATTTAATTTTCACAGGAGGTGTAGAGGAGATTTTTTTTGGTTCAAAATACGCAACAATATCAAAAAAATAAATAAATAAATAAATAAAGAAACGTACGGCTAGCCAAAAGTTCTAGCCGTAGGTGAGTCACGAACGACTAGCCAGGACGCACTGTATTGTCTAGCTCATCTAGTCTAGCCGTACGGCACTTTTCAAAATTATATGGAAGTCGAACGTTATAAAATTGTTGATTTTCATGCTTATCATTTGTTGTTTTATTTGTATGAATTATTAAATCATTTTTGTTAATTTTAAGCACACGGATCGAATAAAAAATGATCGGAGTGGAATAAATAAATAAAAAGAACATTGAATGAAAAAAAAAAAACGGTGAAATGCAAAAATAATTGTATAATTTTCAAAACAGTAGATAAATATCGAACATAAAAGCACAGTCAATCAATTAATTAGCCTTAATTAAAACCTATCCAGGGACTGACAATAGAATTTTAGAATGCCTTTCACGGAACATGCAAACTTTCCTTGATGGACAAACTTCTATACAGTACCGTCGGTACTTGTCGCAATTATCAAGAGCCTAACAACAATCATTTTCAGTGTTTTTTGTTCTTTTTTTCGTATTAAATGTGTCGAAAATTAAAATTAATGAAACAAAAAAGGATTATTATCAAAATTTTGTAAACTCTTTCATTTGGTGTAAATGCAAGCAAAGGCTATTTTTTCTCGACATCTTGCGATGACAAAGATCGAGATATTTATAGCGATCAAGGCGATTAATCTCTAAAAAGTTTACATCCGAAGACAATTAATGCTGTTTCTTGGTTAAAATCCTTGCTTAAAGTCATAATATAACATATGCATTTTCGACTTCCATAAAATTTTGAAAAGTGCCGTACGGCTAGCCAGTATACAGTGTGTCCTTGCTACTTGTTCGTGACTCACGTACGGCTAAAACTTTTGGCTAGCCGTACGGGCCCGTACGCTAGCCACATCCATTATAAACCCTACTAAAACGTGTTCTTAATAGTACATATAATTAATTTTTTGCAGTTTGATTCTGAATTTCAAATTTTAAGGTGTGAACATATGTTATAATTGATGTACGCATTTCAAAAATATAAGCAACTCTTTTGAAAAGTAAATTGTTAACATGTCTGTCAACGTATGATGCTGGGCATCGTTATCGTAGCCTAATATTAACTGCAGGCAAATCATTTTTTATTGGCTGCACAAAAATCTAATTTGCATAATTTATTCACACAATTGCTGGTTCTTACTACTTATGTCTAATACTGCGCATTGTCCATTTTAATTGTTCCTAATTTGCACCAAAATATTCCTGTCACACTGTGTACTGACGATTTTTATTGCTCCTTGTATGCCTCTGTGCCGACAGACC